GCCATCCTAAGGCACAAATCCGTAATATAATAAAATATTTGCCACTTGCCTGGTATGCTTCTCCAACAACATGCTCGACATGAGGCAGGAAACAGAATAAGTCTGGGAAGGCTATTGACTAATTAACATGTGATATCAACTGCGCAAAGTTTCCGTAATTGTTACTCAAAGTGTAATAGAAAAACATTCAGAAACTGAAAATAAAGCAAATACCAAAAGGGAAGATCATGCATAATCCAACATTATTGAATTATTTGAATAACTAACCAAAAGGATAGGTTAAGGTAGTGTAGTTGATGATATACATTTGGATTTTCAAAAGGCCTTTCATAAGTTGCCACATTCGTGAACTCGTGACTAAGGTGTGAATATATGGAGTCGGGGGACAACTAGTAGAATGGATAGCAAGTTCACTGCAAAAGTGAAAACAGAGAATAAGATAGTTCCTCTGACAGAGAAAATGTTAGAGGGTGGAGATTTGCAATATTGATGCTGGGACCATGATTGTACAATATTAATTAAAATGTTTTGGACTTGAGAATTAAAATTCCAAAATTTGCAAATGACTCTGCACTTAATCTGGAGGGGAATTTCAATAAATTCCAGGAAGAGATTAAGGAACTTGAAGAATGGATGTGTGATTGATAAGTTAACTTCAATATAGGCATGTATGTAGTAGGAACAGTAAGTTAACCATATACTCCCTTGTAACTAAGTGCCTAACTATGGTAGTGGAGCTGAGGGATCTGAGGGCATTGATATAACAATCACTAAAAGTAATGGCAGAGGATACATAAAAAGGGCAGAGTTAGAGAACTAGAGGATGTTAGGAGAAATATAAGACCACGGGAGGTTAGATACTTAGGGTGGAATGTATTAAAAATACTTGAGGGTCGCTACCATTTACAGATTCCATCCCCACACTTTGTGTCATTATGCCAGCCTGGGACACCTTTCTAGAAGTGGCCAATTAGAGGCCAGCACTGGGTCCACCATCCAATTGAGAGCAGTAAGTCTGTTCCAAACAAAAAGCCACTGCTGGAAGTGGGCATTGCTGCTGCAGGAGGGAGCAGGAACCTATGGTACAGCACATCTAGGCACCTGCTAGATGGGGTGAGTTGCTGTAAAATCCTGATGGCATTTCCAATCAGCCCATAAACAGGCAGCTAAATTTGTTAATTGGCTACCTGCCAGTGATGACCCACCTCTGGGGAAAATCGCTCAGAATCAGGAATGCAATGGCATACTGTCCGAGTATTATTATTTCCTACCTTCCACTTCTTCCTGCCTTCATATCCGCCCTCTCGGGACTGGGAAGTTTCCGCTAACAGAAATGGAAAGCCTATGAAGAAATTTGAACGAAAAGATAAAAACATTGTGATAGGAAACATAGATTAGTGAAGATGATAATGCTAACCAGCACAATGCACTGTGGACCAGGATTCAGGTAGATTCCTTTTGAAATAATTTGAATTTGTAGACGTTCAGAGACAATAAGGGGAACATTCAAAGAATGGAGTCTAGACATACCTGGGTAATTTTTCACATTGTCGGATATGTGCCAACATTGTAGTTGTACTGGATTAGCTTTACTAGTGGAATAATTATACGGTAGAGATCCTCAGCACCACAACCCAGTCCTTAACCATTGCTGTATCAAATGCACTCAACTATTTCTTGATACCACACATATGAATTAAAATAAATCAGTTAGTGTAAAATACTTTTAATCAGTTCTCTATTCTTTACTTTTCATTCCATTTCAATCACTGCATTGTCTTATTGTTTAGTCACCCTGTCTGGACATGGTACAAGAGACAGCTGGGGCAGCTTGGACTTAAACACAGATTTTCTAGCCCAGAGATAGGTACAATACCACTGTACCACTGTACCCTTGCATCATCTTATGCACGCTATCCAAGAAATTATCATTACTTTTTGTCAAAGCCCTGTCGGATGTTAACGAACCATGTGAGGGCATATTTCATTTGGCCTGATTGTTCATCAGCTATAAATATCAACATTTATGGTAAAGAACAATTCTATTTATTCATTTCTATGTTTGAGGGCATTGTACACCTCTTTATATTCTGTCATGGGAAGGTTAAGATTTGTTTCTGATCTCTGATTGCTCCTGAACTGAATGGCTGTCTAGGCTTTTTCAGAGGGTAGTTAAAAATCAACCATATTGCCATAGGTCTGTAATCATATGTAGGCCAGACTGGGTAAGGACAGCAGATTTTCCTCCTTGAAATGAATAAACAGTCGATGATAGTTTCATGGCACCAGTGCTGAGACTAGCTTTACATTCCAGAATTACTGACTGAATATAAATTTCACCAACTACCTTGGTGGGATTGAACTTGTGTCTTGTCAAGACTTTGAAATATAAACTGAGAAAAATGGACGTCTGACATCTTGCAGAAAATGAGCTTTTTGTTTTTTTTTTAACAACTCCAAGGTAAAAGGTGGAACTGAATGGTGTTCACTTATTGGTTACACAATAAAATGTAACTTGTGGAGAAACTGCATTTAGATGCTTTTGTCACGAAAGCTGGCACCAGGTGCCTTTCATTTGAAAAGGAAACAGGCTTTTTTAAGTTACATTTTGTCACAGAATGTGAGAGAGCAGTTGCACTCAGACTATCAGAAAACCTGCAAGCAAATACAGATCTCTCTCTCTCACTGTCTCCTTCCACAAGTAGAAGAAAACCACACCTGGTTATAATCTCTTCCAAACTCTTCCATCAGGCAGAAGACACAAAAGCTTAAACATACATACCAACAAGTTCAAGAACAGCTTCTTCCGTACTGTTATCAGACTTTTAAATGCACCTCTCAAATTATCAGATCTAATGTTGATCTTGCTTTTGTGAACCTTTCTCACAGCCATATCTTTGTATTCCTCACTCTGTTCAATCACCCTGTGTGTGCAAAACAAAACTTTTCACTGTACTTGGTTACATGTGGCAATAATAATAAATCAAATCAGTAAAATCAAATTGAAAAGAAAAACTTCTCTATCAAATAAAGACCTGTGTCCAGCTAACCAACCATGAAATTGAGACTCTTCTACTGTTGACAACAACATGATATCATCACCTACAAAACATAAGAGCTGTGAGAAAACCACATCATTTCACCATTGTGATTTAGACTCTTAATTTACAGAATATCATGGGTGGAAAATACAGGCAAAAAGTAACAAATTCTGTCAGAGTCCAAATGACAAGGGTGAAATTATGTGATGTTTTTCTGACCTTGTCTGTCCTATTTGTGAAAGAATGTGTTTGTTTAGCTGTAGTGGGTACAGTCTCAGTTTGTATAGGAGCAATTAATAATCCATTTGCCACATGTTAAAGAATGCGTTTGTGTACAACAAATAACTGTGTTTTCTTGTTTATTGATGGAAGCTGATGTGAGTTCCAGGAACAGTGAGACTTGCTTACCAGTGTATTCTTTCCATTAGGGTCATGAGCTCTGGGTTATGAATCCACTGACATGACCACCACACCACCATCTCTGACAACACTTTTCCAATTGATTCCACTTCATCTGAAATCACCAACCTAATGAGCTGTTCGTGGATACTAGGTTTCAGTCCAGCCAGGACAACGTGCTGCCAAGCCCCGTTATACCTTCTGTCCAAATTTGTACAAGTAAGACGAATTTCAGAGAAGTGAGAATGACTGTTCTTGGCATTGAGGCAGAATTTCATTCAGTGTAGTATGAAGGATTAATAAAACTAAGAACAATGGATGCTGGAAATCTGAACCATAAACAGAAATTGCTGGATGAACTAAGCACATCAGGCAGCATCCCTGGAGAGAAAGCAGAGGTAATGTTTCAGGTCCAATGACCCTTCTTCATGACCGGTATGTAGGTGCAAAGGAGCTGTAGCAAAATCTATGTCAACATGACTCAAGGGGAAAACTCTCCACTGGTTCAAGTCATACCGAGCACAAAGAAAGATGGTTGTGGTTGCTGGAGGCCAATCATCTCATCCCCAAGATATCACTGCAGGGGTTCTTTAGGGTAATGTCCTAGGCCCAACCCTCTTCAGCTGCTTTATCAACATCATCTCTTCCAACATAAACACAGAAATGGGGATGTTTGCTGATTTTTGCACAGTTTTCAGTGCCATTCACAATACTTTAGTCCACACCTGCATACAACAAGACTTGGATACTATTTAGGTCTGGGTTAATAAGTGGCAGGTAGCCTTCATGTCAGATAAGTTCCAGGCATTGACAATCTCCAACAAAAGAGAGTCTTTGACATTCAGTGGTGTTAGCATTGGTGAAACTCCACTAGCAATATCCTACAAGTTAGCATTGACCATAATCTAATTGGGCCAGCCCATATAAATATTGTGGTTACAGGATCATGCCTGAAATTGGTAATTCTGCGGTGAGCAACCCACCTGTTGACTCCTTGAAGTCTGTCCTCCATCTAAAGGCATACACCAGAAGTGTGAAAGAGTACTTTTGATTTGCCCAGATAAGCGCAGCTCCATTGACGCAAGAAGCTCAACACCATCCAGAATAAACTAGTCCTTGATCTGCAGGCCATCAACAACCTTAAACGTTCATCTGCCCGTTCACCAACACACTGTGACTGAATTGTGTATCATTTAAAAGGTTCAGTGCAACATCTCACCAAGGCTCCATCAACAACAGCTTTCAAACCTGTAGTCTCCATCAAGTAATAAGACTAGGGCAGCAAATAATTTAAGAACAGTCCCATCTCCAAGTTCTATCCATGTCACAGGTCAACCTGGCATGAAAACATTATCACTGAGTCAAATTTCTAGAATTTCCTACCTCAAAGACTGCAGCAGTTCAAGAAGGCAGCTCACCAGTTAGGGATGGGCAATAAATGCCCATAACTCATGAGTGAATTAAAGAAATTCCTGTTCTGGTGATGATTATCAATGGAAACAGTAATAACATTTCCTACTGTTTTGATCGGTAAGTGTTTACACAGGCTTTCTTTTACAGAATGAAAATCCAGGACCAGGTTCCTATGATTACGTTCATAAATCAATCGAAACTTTCAGCACCTCTGTCTCCAAAAGAGGAATGGGTGGACTTGCATCCAAAGTGAGTTATTGCATTTTCTCCTCATAACGTAATTGCAATATCAAGGAAAATATTCAGCCCTTGTTTGGTAATTGCTACTTGTTCCACCAATAGCTGAGTCTTTATACAGACAGCCTCAGTAAACAAAAAAATGACAGAAACTGCATTAACATACGATCCAAGGTTTGTGCATTGGAAATGATAAGTAATTCCAGATTAATCTAAATGTACATTGATTTCCATGATTGCTCCAATAATAAGACCTCTTTATCTTTTCCCATCATTTAGGCATCCCGTCAAGGGCGGAGAAGCACTTCTCAGACTCCTGGAGCAAATGCATATAATATTCCATCTCCAATTTTATCAAAGGTTGATTATCACCTGGGGAACAGCAGTATGTTCCAGCGTCCCATTGCCATGAAAATGGATGATCTCAAAAACGTAACACCAGGCCCCAATGAGTATAATGTGAGTAAGGCAACTCAAGATCTTTGAAAGGTTACTGCAATTGGAGAAATTATCAGCAAGCTACCACTTGAGTGAAGCATCTCTGCTTTGTTACAATGCACTCCAGATGGAGGTGTCAAATAATTCAGTATTCATTACAATGATTTCCTTGAAGTTTGCTTTACTGTTCCTTTTGAATATTTATCACATGAGTATGTAAAATTTTGAGTTGGCAAAAATGTGAAGTGATATTGTTGTTCATGTAAGGGTTTGTTTAGCTTTACAGCTATACAGGTAGAAATGCTGATGGAGGTAGAAGTGTGATTATAATATCTAACTTGGGAGTTTCACTTCTACAATTCCTGAGTCACTATTATCATATATTGGAACAAAGATACTAATCTGATCACAAGTAACTTGACTAATAATTCAGTGTAGCGCTATAGATGTGCCACATTATTGGAGACACCAACTTTCAGAATGGTCTAAATGGTAAGGTCAAAAGATTCCATGGCCTCCTGCTAACTGGGCTCATGCGTCTTCAGTTTGTGGGACCTGTTTTGCTCGAATCGGCTATGCATTTCCGAAAGTTAAAATAGGGATTGAATTTGCATAGAGTTACGATATTAACATCAGAAGCATACACAATAATGATATAGCAATGATGGCAGACATGATTAAATAGTGAAAGCTGGAAAAGAGCAGAGGTCGTAATCAAGTGTAAAGATAATGTGCTTATAGGCTAAGCTGTAAGTAAAGTGTTTTTTGCAGAAAGTTCCTTGGATTCAAGCTGTATCATTTTGGGAGATTGGACAGAGTTAGGCAGTAACGCATAAAAAATGGTGGCAGCTGAAAAAGGCAAAAAGAAGCATCAAAGTCAGCAAATGAAGTCAATCTCCTGATGAAGAAGGAGACTCCCGAGGACATTGGGGCTCTGTGGAGTGGTAGAATACTGGAAAACAGACTCAGAGACTGGATAACCATGACAACAACCTGTTCTGCAAGCAGTGTGACAGACACAGTACCAAGGGAACAGCTCAAGAGCTCAGGAAAACACAGAAGCTAACTTTGCCATGCTTCTGAAAACATTCCATTGCAATTGAGGGATCAAATCAGAATAAGCAGTGGGAAATTGGAAGAGACAGGTTCACGAGGTGTAAAACTGCTTCAGGATTAGACAAGAAAGGCCAGAGGACCCGGTCAGAACATTACTTTACACTGTTGGAATGATCATGAATGAGGTATTAACAAGACAGGGGCATTGGTGAGAACGTAGCATCACATGAAGAGGTATAATTGGTCTTCAACACTTATTTCAATATTTGTTAAAACTTAATTATTGAACCGGCAAAGTTTAATAGAAGGGAACAGAGGCCAGATAAAAAGCAGAGATTTGTTCTTTACAGGCTGGGGGAGCATTGCTCTTATGAAGAGTGGAAAATGGAGTTGATTCATGAACAGATTATATTCAAGATGGCAAACAAGACTTCAAAAACAGAATTGGGAGATCTTTCAAGAAAGACTGCTGTGCTGTGGTAAAACTTGAGTGAGACAACTCAGTTCGTTGGCTGCAAAGAAGAAAACCACATCATGCCAAAAAGGAAAAGAAGCATGCCAACCATCACTTTGAAGTGCCTTCAGTGTAAAGGTAACAAGAGATACAAATGGGAAGAATATTCACATTGCCAAATTGTGGAAAATATTTAAATTTCTCTGTGATTCTAAACTGCAGACACCTGGAAAACAGTAGGACTTTGGAAACAAGCAAGGTCAGAAAGAAAAGGTGAAAGAAATCATTGATTCTGAAAACAAACATTGGAATGTCAAATTGAAAATAAATGGTTATCTCACCGAGTTTAAACTAGATACAGAAGTTGGCATTTTGGTATTATTAGATAAACTTAAACGGCTTAAACAAATTAAATAACAACCATCACCATGAGATTACAATGTCCTGGATGAACATCATTGAATTTTGAAGACCAGCTAACAATGAGAGTCATGTATATGAAAAGAGAAATCATGGAATTTCTCTATCTTATTTGGAGTCCAGAATGTGCTCTGTGAAATAGAAAGAAATGCTTAAAGCTGACATTAATTTGTAAAGTCAATGAGATTGCTGATAAAACGTAAACAAATTAAGTTCACAATGACCTCCCAAACTTTTTCACCAACTTGGGCAGTTAAAAATAAAATACCACATCACCCGATGAGATAATACTCAACCAACTTGCTACAAGTCAAGGAGAGTCCCTCATTCACTCTTGGAAAAAGTTAAGGAAGAAACAAAAATATATGCTACAACAAAAAGTGGTTTCACTCACTCACCAAGATGGTATTCAGTTTAGGTTATGATTCCAAAACCAAGTGGTTTGATAAGAATCGATCTGGATTTAATTCAGTTCAATAAAGTACCAAAATTGAGATTTACCCAATGGCTGTACTGGAATGAAGTCTAGCAAAACTAACCGAGAGCACCTTATTCACCAAACTGGATATAAACAGTGGATTTTGTTATTTCTTCTGGATGAAGATTCTAGAATGTAATCACATTTATCACACCTTTTGAGTGTTATTGTTTTAATTGTTTACATTTGGAATCATGTCTGCTGCAGCAGTGCTACAGGGAACTATGTCTAACACATCACAGTCACAAACCCTTCCACATCTCTGCCCCTCCTCCAGCAGCAGTGTGTCCAATCCACAAGATGCAGAAATTCACTAAGGCTCCTTAGCCAGCACTTTCCAAAACTATGATCACTACCTCTAGAAGGATAAAGTGTACTGATGCATGGGAGCGCCACCACCTGTGAGTTTCTCTCCACTTGTCATCCTAAATTTGAAATACATCACCGTTCCTTCACTGTCATTGCGTCAAAATCCTAGAATTCCCTCCTTCATGGCATTGTGGCTCTACCTGCAGCAAATGGACTGCAATGGTTCAAGATGGCAGCTCACCACCACCTTCTGAAAGGCAACTAGGGCTGGGCAATGAATGTTGGCTGAGCCAGGAATATCTACATCCCATGGATGAATTTTAAAAAATTGGAAGGCATAAATTGTTGTGTAATAATCCACATGAATTAGATGCTAATAACTGAATCCACAGAAGAAGAACATGATTGAAACATTAGAACATAAAGCCCTACAAATGCAGAAATGCAAGTCGGCAAGACCTGAGATAAAATTTCTTCGGCATATCATTCAAGCTGATGGAATCACAGTTGATCCAATGAAAAAATGTTGATAAGAGAATTCCTCTCTATGGGAACATCACAGAACTTCAAAGTTTTCTCAAAGTGGCCAATTTTCAAACTAATTTGGTGAAGGTTAGGAGCAGCTCAGAGAGAGAGAGTATGGTATAAGAATAACAGAGATGAATAATGATCAGAGCAAAGACACCACAACTGAGATCATATATGATTGGAAAAGATCATGGTATCATAAGGAGAAATGGTAATGTATTGAAATCATCGAACAAAGGAAGATAGAATAAAAGCCAAAAGAATTGCAGATGCTGTAAATCAGGAACAGAAACAGAAGTTGCTGGAAAAGCTCAGCAGGTCCGGCAGCATCTGTGAAAAAAAAATCAGAGCTAACATTTCGGGTCCAGTAACCCTTCCTCAGAACTGATAAGAATCTGTCTGGATTTAACTCAGTTAAACAAAGTACCAAAATTGAGATTTACCCAATGGCTGTACTGGAATGAAGTCTAACAAAACTAACCGAGAGCAGCTTATTCATCAGACTGGATTTTGCTGTTTCTTCTGGATGAAGATTCTAGAAAGTATACACTTTTATCAAAGCTTTTGAGTGTTATTGTTTTTTTTTATAGAGCCCCTACAGTGTGAAACAGGCCCTTCGGCCCAACAAGTCCACATTGAACCTCAGAGCATCCCACCCAGACCCATCCTTCTATAAACCCACTCAGCCTGTACATCCCTGAACACTATGAGCTATTTAGCGTGGCCAATTCACCTAGCCTGCACATCATTGGACTGTGGGAGGAAACCGGAGCACCCGGAGGAAACCCACACAGTCACAGGGAGAATGTACAAACTCCACACAGACAGTCGCCTGAGGGTGGAATTGAACCCAGGTCCGTGGCGCTGTGAGGCAGCAGTGCTAACCACTGTGCCACCGTGCCACCCCTTCAAAGAAAATGCTTTAATTGTTTTAAAAATTATTTTAATTGTTTACATTTGAACTGAGAAAGGATCACTGAATCCGAAACGCTAACTGTGAACTTTTGCTTCACAGTTGCTGCCAGACCTGCTGAGCTTTTCCAGCAACTTCTGTTCTTGAAAGGAATATCAACCCCCACCCCCTCATCGGCCTGGGATTCTGACCCAACAGCTCTCCATAAACCTAGGAATCTCCCTACTGCTAGACCTCACCTCCCCCTGCAACCCGACCCCCGCCATCTTTCCTTGCCCCCAGACCTGAGATGCCCTTTCCACTGCCACTGTACCTGACCACCAAGCCCCACTGCCCCTCAACACTCTCCCACCTCACCCCCGGTGACACCTCCTCCACCACTGAACCTGATGACCCTCTCACACCTAGTTCAGTTTCCTGTTTGTGATTGTCACTCCTCAGAAATCTGGCCCAGCGTGTGTATAATAAGTAAGAGGTTCTTGGAGAAAGTTTTACAGATTCAAGCAGCATTATTTTGAGAAATTAAGCAGAGTCAGGCCCTGCACAGAAGGAAAAAAAGAGATTGCGAAGTCAATTGGAATGTTCTGAGAATGTGACAAGTGCTGGATTAAAATAAAGGGTGGGGATTAGTCACGGGGATGGGGTTGTAGCTTTAACCCTGACAAGGTATCTGCAGCAGGTCTAAAGTCTGTAAACAATACACACAATTTTGTTACATGGAACAGTTACGTACAACAGTTCTAGGTGGTCATGTTTATTTAATAAGAACTTGACTGAACTACTGTCCCAGAGAAGGTGCTATTTTTACAGAGCAAAGTAGCGCAGTGCCATATTTTCTAACATGAAAAGTGGGGAAGGAGGATTCACTGCATTATTTTGCCATTATACATAAATGCAAAGTGTATATCGATGTTGTTTCCAATAGTGCCTTTCACATTTTTTAACCTGTTAACTGTCGAAAATTCCTTTCGGCCCTACCTATGCCTCATAATAACAGATGGAGGAATTGATACGTGCAGAAGAATTTCAATCTACTATTTACAAATCTTTGCACAGATTTCTAATGTTTATCTTGGGAAAACTAACAATGTCTCTGCTGAGTCGGCATTTTTATCAAGAACCAGACGAGACCTGATTCCACCAGGCAAATTGAAGGGACCCTCCCCGTGTAAGTACATACATTTTACGAATACAAGGAAATAGTCTGTGTTTTGTTGCTCCACATATAAACATGACGAGACTGCATTGTTCCTGAAAACATGTGGGCCTTTGACAAAGTATACTTAACGTTTGATCACAGATTCCTGTGCTGCAAGTGTTTGGTCATAGAATCCCTACAGTGTGGAAGCAGGTCATTCAGCCCATACCGACCCTCCGAACAGCATCTCACCCAGAACCACACCTCCACCCTGCATTTCTCATGAACAATCCACCTAGCCTGCACATCCCTGGACACAATGAGCAATTGAGCATGGCCAACCCACCTAACCGGCACATCTTTGGATTGTGGGAGGAAGCGCATGCAGATACGGGGAGAATAATCAAACTCCACACAGTCACCCGAGGCTGGAATCAAACCCGGGTCCTTGATGCTGTGAGGCAGCAGTGCTAACCACTGAGCCACCATGTTGCCCCAGTCACTCATCCAAGTCATTGATCACTTGTAAACTTTTTTTATTATTTTGGCCTCTTTCCACTGAGGAAATAAAACTCACTGTAAATTTCCAAGTAAAACACCTATAATAAAAACTTATTTTGAAGATGACTACACAGAACAGCATAATGAAGTGAGCTATACAACTTTGTTTTCACCTCAAGGCCCTCAGTAAAAATCTAAGCCCCATTTACTAGACACCTAATGATGCTTTGTTCAGTTTCAAACCAGTTTGTTTTTTTGGATAGAAGCCAATGTTGCCTGTAATTTTGATACTAAGATATCTGACTTCTCATCTATTTAAAAAAATGAGGGGATCTCCTAGAACGTATAAAATTATAACAGGACTGGATAGGGTAAACTCAGGAAGGAGGTTCCTTATTTCTGGGGAATCCGGAACCAGGGATCACTGTCTAAGGATATAGGGTAGGCCATTTATGACTGAGATGAGGAGAAAGTTCCTCACACAGAGTGGTGAGCCTGTGGAATTCTCTATTGCAGAAAGCAGTTGAAGCATTGAATATTTCCAAGAAGGAGTTACATATAGTTCTTAGGGCTGAAGGGATCAAAGGGTATGGGGAGACAGCAGCAACGGGATACTAAGTTGGATGATCATATTGAATGGCAGAGCAGGCTCAAAAGGCAGAGCAGAATACTTGTGCTCCTGGCTTTTATGGTTTTATGTATGCTGCTGAACAGTTTACATAGTGCTTATAAGTGCGTCATCTCTCTTATTAGAAAGTCAATAAAATATCTAAGCAAAGCAGTGCAAAATTGATGGTTTTCATTTTGTTTCTTTTGAGGGGGGAGTGCCAAGTCTGTATTTAGTACTTTTGTGTTAATGATGCAATGCGCTTGTTGAGCAGAGAAATGTACTTCTGGCCCCTTATTGTAATGAAGCATTATAATAGGCAAGAGTTTTCCTAGTTTCAGAATACATCGCTGTGTATACAACAGGGCTGTTTTGCTGCAGTTGTCTACAGTTAATAAGTGGTGAGGAATATCTGTTTTGCATACCTGTGAACTGTATCATTACTGCTAACGTTTCAGCTTGAAATTCTTTTCCAGGTCAATACAAAGTCAACCATTCCCTGACAAAGGAGTCACCAAAATCCATAGTCTCTTCATTTAGATCCAAAACAATCCGCCTGAAATATCCAAAAGACTCAAACCCAGGACCAGCAACCTATCAACCCTATAAATCAATGGGACAGGAGCGAACGCAATATGCACACTTGCACCCGTGGTATGTGTAACAGTGTCCATTCGAGTTGTAGCTATGTTGGCAAATCCAGCAAAATGTATTTGTTCAAAGGCCTCATTATGGGGAAAAATTATCATCTGCAAGTTCCTAGCTTTCAGAAAGTGCAAGTTTTGCATCCTCTGAGTGTTACATGAGAACATTAGAGTGGGTTGGGGGTGATATAGCAATTTCCCTGTGTCGAGCAATTTCGGTTCATAGTACTGTCACAAACATGTAATTCTAACATTTTGCAAAGAATGCTAATCTGTCTTTAAAATGGACATGGATGGAATCTTGCAGCACCTGTGGAGAAAAATCAACGTTAACATTTTGAGTTTCAGTGACCCTACGTCAGTATGTTCTGAGATACTGCCAGACCAGCTGAGTTTTTCCAGCAAATCCTATTTTTGTTTCTAATTTCCAGCATCCACAGTTCTTTCATTTTTTATGGGTGAAATCTTATAGGAGTCTAAGTAACGTGGTTAATGGAGATAAAAACAGAAATTGCCGGACAAACTCAGCAGTTCTGGCAGCATCTTTTCTGAAGAACATTCTGAAGAAGGGTCACTGGACCCAAAACGTTAACTGTGCTCTGTCTCCACAGGTGCTGCCAGATCTCTTGAGTATTTGTAGCCAATTCTGTTTTTGTTTCTGATTTCCAGCATCTGCAGTTCTTCAGTTTTTTTATTGTTTAGAAGTTTATGGAGAGCTTTGTGCAGAATCTGACCAGAAGTTTGGTGAGCCCCATTTCAATGTCAGGAGCATCTCATTCTATCTTTTATGCTTTTGCTGAGGGCATGGTGAGTTTCTTGTTAGGTGGTAGCGAATTGCCAATTATGGGGTATTATTGCTCGATAGCTTGTTGACAGCCCAACTCACCTCATCAATACTCAGCTCTTGTAACTCACCAAACTCACCAACATAATAAGATGTTGCGAGAACTCGACATGGAAGTCAGAGCATGTACTTGGTGATTTCAGCTCGTTGCCTGCGCCAAAGCAGCTCCATGTTGGACACAGGGCACCAACATGGCAGGGCGATGCTCTAAGGGCACCAACCACATGCACCACCATATCTACAGACATTGGCATTCCAATTATACCCTCAGGGACACGCACCCAGCTCATGGTCTTGAACAGGCTGCATCTCTGGAGTCTTCTTTCACTGTCATTGCCCTCACTCACTTTGTGCCTACCTGGATGCTCATGGCACCCCTGCCTTAAATTGCCATGCAATGCCTTTTTGCACTTGACCCCTCAGCCAGAGTTACTTGGCTCATGTTACTTCTGTCTTGCCTTGCTGTTTAACGTAGACACAAAGGTAGGAAGCTTGACATGGTTGCCAGTGAGGTTGGTAGAGCATGAGCGTTGGTGAGCCGTGGGTACAGTAGCAGAGATCAAGTGAGTATGAGGTATTGGAGCAAGAAGTGGACACCCATGCTGGCAGAGTGGAGATGTACATTCGCCCAATGCCTACAGTGCTGGGCATATGACCAGATGGCTGAAACTTCTTTAACCTGGTGGCAACTTCACAGTAGGATGACATGGTTTTGTGTCTGGCCTCCACTATTGATCCTGTTTGAGGAGAAAAGCCTGCATCTGCATCACTCCAGTCACCAGGGACTCCATGCTCATCTTCAGGAAAGCCATGATTAATTAGTTTCTGTTTACCATTGGAAATGTTCATTGAATTTCAAAGGTCTCTAATGATTCTTCTTGAGTTATGTACAGCCTGTTTCTAATCCCAGTTGAACTCCAGATCCCTGCTCACAAAAAGGCATGCCAAATATCCCTCATCTGCCATATCTGAGGTAAAACTCATAAACCGTACAGTGCAGCACTAGACAGACAGTGCTTGTCCAGGTTGTAAAAAAGGTGCGAGTCTGTGGGATGGCAGTGAATTCTGGAACATCCACCAAGTGGCAAATTTTTCAAGGAATGGCTTGGTATAAGATGGACTGGAATCGGACATGACAGAGCCACAGGGATGGTGTAGGTAGCTAATGAGGTGGGTTTAGTAATTTAGGACAAGAACATTTGCTAGGTCTTGTGGCAAAAATCCTTTCAAGAAACTCACACAACTCGAACTTAATCAAAAAGATGTAAGATTGTAGCCCAAGGAGTCCTCTAGAATGGCTCTCAGATACCGCATGACTTTCCTTCTAGATTCAACTGGGATTAGAAACAGGCTGTATATAACTCAAGAAGAATCATTGGAGACTTTTAAATTCAATGAATCATGGCTAATTAATCATGGCTTTCCTGGAGATGTGCACACCACTTCCTATCTTACCAAAAATCTGAAAGCATAAGAGGCAATCAAGCTAATGGCTGTGATAGCTAAAAACAAATGATCTTGGCTAAAAGACAGTGGATGAGTTTACGCTGCAAACTTGGGGTAACCCAAAATGTAATATGATAGCAAGATTCTTCAGTTTGGAATGGCAAGTGTTAAAAGTACAAACATCTGGCTTTGAACAGCAATTTTGTGCAGAGATTTCAGTTAAATATGTGAAGATTCTCATCTGAGCAATCTGTGAACAGCTTTTGAGAATTGGGTTTCTGTCTAACACAGGCAGTTACAGAAGAAGATGCCCAGAACTCCCTGTTCTGCTGTACTGGAATCCAGGCAGCCTTCCGATGTCTTGCTGGCAGAACCAGTAATGTAAAGGGGCCTAAAGTTTAGGGAGGGGTATATCAATATTGTGGGCCACATTGGTATTACTAATATCTTAGTATCTTAACATCTTCAAAGAAAGCGACAAAAGTGATCGATAAGTGCAAAGCAGTGAATGCTGTCTACATGGACTTTACTAAAGCATTTGACAAGGCTGTCTTCTCCAGAAGATGAAATTGCTTGGAATCTATGGTGAGTTGGCAAGTTGAATTCAAAATTGGCTTGGCCAAAGAAGGCAGAGGGTTGTTGTGGAGGACTGGAGGTCTGTGACAAGTGGTGTTCCACAAGAAGCAGTGCTGGGACCACTATTGTTTGTAATTAAATAAATGATTTGGATGAAAATGTTGGTGGTCTGATCAGTAAGTTTGTAGATGATGTGAAAATTAATGGAGTTGTGGATAGTGAGGAAGGTTATCAAAGGATGCAGCAGGATATAGATTGGCTGGAAAGTTGGGTGGAGAAATGGCAGATGGAGTTTAATCTGGACAAGTGTGGGGTGATGAATTTTGGGAGGTGAAATGCAAGAGGAAAGTATACAGTAAATTGCTGGGAACCCTTAGGAACACTGATTTACAGAGGGATCTTGGGTACAAGTCCAAAATTCCCTGAAAGTGGCGACTAAAGTGGATAAGGTGATAAAGAAGGCATAAGCATATTTGCCTTCATTGGTTAAGACATTGAATATAAAAGTTGGCAAGTTGCATATTTCAACTGGATAAGACTTTGGTCAGACCACATTTGGAGTACTGTGCCAGTTCTGGTCACCACACTTTACATAGAGCTTTGGAGAGGGTACAGAAGAAGTTTACCAGAATGTTGCCTGGATTGGAGTGTATTAGCTGTAAAGAGAGGTTGTACAAACTTATGTTGTTTTCGCTAGAGTGTCAGAGGCTGAGAGGCAACCCAACAGAAGTCCATAAAATTATGAGGAACATGGATAGGCTGGATAGTCAGAGTCTCTTTCCCAGGATAGAAATGTCAAATACTTAGGAGCATAGGTTTAATGTGAGAGGAGAAGAAGTTAAAGGAAATGTGCAAGGAGAGGTTTTTACACAGAGGGTAGTAGGTACCTAGAGCGTGCTGCCCAGTGCAGGTGGTAGAAGCAGATTTTAAGAGTAAAGTTTAAGAGCCATTTAAACAGACGCATGCAGAGATTAGAGGGAAATGGTCCATGTGCAGGCAGGTGGAATTAGTTTAGAATAACATCATGTTCGGCACAGATATGGTGGGCTGAAAGGTCTTTTCCTGAGTAAGCAAAACTGCAGTGGATGGTGTTCAAAGAGGTGTACTTGGGATCTGAGAGAAGCAAATCAGAAGACTTTCTTAATAAGGAGACAGTAGGGGTTATGGAAGTGCAACGGTGCTTTGGAGACTCTAAAGGCCTTGATTGCCTGCCGCAGTAAATGAAGCCAGCTATTCCTGAGCCAGATGATTGGAAAGGGATAAACTGCATTCTTTCATTTAAATTTTAAGTCTCCTGCCACTTATCACAGTATGGTACATGCAGGTGCTCATTTGGCTGGTGCTGTTATTTCCAAAAATATATTGTCAGATCTTCCATCCATTATAGTGTTATGAACTTATCACAATTCTGCCTGAAGGCAAGGTCTGACTCACAGCACTACAAATTCCACCACAGGTAAGGCAAGGAGCTAAACCCCGCATCCACTCCAGCCAGAATGAGATCTAGGCCACACCAACATTCCGACCAACTGAGCCAACTAACTCTTTGAGAATTGCTGTGGCCATATGTATTTTTACTTCCATATCGTACTTTGGAGCTATGGAAATTGACCCTAGAGGCTCCAATTTTCTTTCCATCAGGATAACAAGGAATCTCTCCTGCTCTTATTAACTGCTATTTGTGTGTGCTCTGAGGATTTAATTTTTGACAAGCAACCTGTTTGGCTTCATTGAAAAGACACCTTCCTTACTAGTCACATCCTGGAGTGTGATGTCTGCCTGACCCACTAGGCCAGATATTCTGGTGTCTGGCCTCGATGAAGGATGCTTTCCAGTCCCTCTAACCCAGTCATGCCTGCTTGATAAAGAGGGGTAGTCACAAAAATGTTGAGAAAAGAAACCATCCCTTTTTAGTGCAGATCACCTTCACGGTCTGTGTTCCACTAGTGGGCTGTACTTTTACACATCTTATTACCTTTGGCATCCAGCCATATGCCAAATCTAGACTGGTCTAGCAAAAATGGACTTTGTGTGACAATGCAAGGTGAAAGGAAAGGTTCAGCACTTATAAAACATGTTTGAAACATCTTGAAATGGTGGGTATACAGCTCAAGCATCATGCTACCAGCAAAACAAATCATGGCACAAGTGGATTTTCAAGTTTTGGGGCTCTGCTTGACAATTTCCTAAAACACGTTGGTTCAGACCAGGAGCTCAGTGGAGTGGAGGATTGAAGTAGTTTGATGACCAACTAACAACTAACAATATAAGTGACATATGACATTATGTTGTGCTTTTGCAAATTATGATTTCTTGTCTGGAGAACATTTCAAGGTTTGGCTGTGTATGATCCTGAAAAGAAAGGCATGTTGCCAGCGCTTTTCATTTTGCACTATCAGAACATATACAAAAATGCAAAATTCAAATGATCACAACAATTTATACTACAGCAGATTGATTGGTAAATCTGATTGACTGAGCAGAAGGTGTTCCAATATTTTCACAAGTGAGGCTGAATGGATAGCTAAAACATAAAGTGGCTTGGGTTCAGTGTACTACATAAATCATTAGGCCTGATTTGCTGATATTGTGACATAGATTTATTGTATTTTAACAAAATGTTCATTACATCTCATTTGTTCTGTTGTAATTCATCTTTTCTAGGAAGAAACATTATTTGTGTATTTCCGCTCCTCCCTTCCCAGTACGCAAAAACCCGACTCCTCCTGGTCCAGGTTATTATGACGTTGTTGATTTTCATGATCCACCGAAGCACTATATGTCCAATGCTGTGTTTGTATCTAACACGAGCCGATGGACTGGGAATGTTCGAAACAAAGATGCTCCAGGGCCAGGTAGGACATTCAGATGGTTAGACATTGGGAACAGAAGCAGCATAATATTATAATAGTAAAAATAGATGATTGCCTTTGGTTTTGAAGGTTTGCAATGCACACAAGAATATGCAAATGATGTCAGAAACTACTACCCCAGTTGCAATTAGATGAGAGAGGAGAATCATCCTCTCCCTTTTTAGCACTCTCACAATCGGTCACAGCAAATATTTTTACTTTCTTTTTGGCACGCTGCTATCACACTTCAATTCAAACATAGTTTGCCAGAAAATGGCAGAGCCAATTACAGAGGTTTACTTGAGAAAAAAGAAGAGGAATTTAATTGCCTACTAATTCTGCGAGAAATAATGTAAATGTGACCTCAAACGTGCACAAACAAACACAGGTAATAAGTTTAAAACAAGAAATGACTGGTGCAAAATGGAAGCTAAAAGCTGAAACTACTTTAATTTCTTAGAGTCTTTGGGAAGAGAGATTGAAAACTGAGTCCACAACTGTTTAGCTGTTAGCTTGTTTCCTCAACAGTACTGAAATTTATAGAATTCTGAAGTTCTCAGTGAAAGGTTGTTTTCTCACGTTGCCTAGACACTGGACACAGATTTCATACATTGAGAGAGAGATCCATGTCTAAGTTTTGATTTTATGAATCCACATTCTTCTTCCCTCTCTGCTCTGTCAAGCAAACTACCGAAATATTGTTCATTTGTTAATTCCCAAAATCTAACTCCATTGTTTTTTGAATGCAAACACTGTTTTGGCAATCATCATCTCCCAGTAAGTGAACTCATTGTGGAAGTGTGAATTAACCAGGAGATGTGAATTTCTTGATACGGTCTAAGCTGTCTTGTTTCACTGTCGTTGGATGAAATGTTAATTACATTACAGCCAATTTATTGTATTCTGTACTGGTCCTCTCAACATGCCTCAATCTGTGGTCACAATAACCAATTAAGATCAATATTTGTCCACTTTAAAAATCTCTTTATTTCCATGAAGGTCTCAGATATTAAAATCAGGTGACATAAGTTAAATATCAATAGTCCATTGCCATAGCACTCTGGGCATCTGTTTACACTGTGTCCTGCTGATTCTAGGAATTTGGCCAGTTCAATAAAAGACTGACCCAAGCCTATCCTAAAGGGACAGTGGTAAAAGGGGCAGCCTGACTATAAATATTTTATACTTCTGAATCAAGCAGAACTCAGTTAATGACTAATGGCCAATACACTGAGTCAGGTGATGCATACCAGCTTCCATATGGGAGCAAAAGAAGTTTGAGAGGAGATTTTATAGAGATAGTCAGCAGTGCAGTGAGAGAGAAACTGCTCCCTTTGGCGGAGCTGTTGAGACCCAGAGTATATGGATTGGAGGTGTTTTGCATAAGAACCAAAGGTGACATGAGAAATGCACTGGGAGTAGGGCGGGATTGGGGTGGATGGGTGGGTGGTGGTGTTGTTGGTGACAGGTTCGGTTGTCACTTTAAAAAGGAAGCTGAATAAATTCCTGAAGATTAAAATGTAATTACAGGATCATGGGAAAAATGGAGGGTGACTGGGACAGGCTGAACTATTCTTATGAATGGCTGGCACGGATGTGGTGGGCTGAATGGTCTCCTTTGTGTTTTTACCATTCTATGATAATATAATTGGATACCACTGGGGGTGCAGGGATGGAGACTGGTAAGTGGAGCTACCTGGCCTCTAAAAGAAAGATTTTATTTTAATTCAGCAGGGATTGCACAGGCAGTTTTATCTTGGATGGGCAGAGAAACACCTCAGTCCTCACCGCTGTCTGGTGTAAGGTGCCTCATTTGGGCCATGTAATGGTATACCTACTCTCCACGGTCCCAAGCAAATTATGGTCCTGTCCAGTTGCCTCTGAAAAACTGCTGCTGACTCACCGGAAATTATTGTCATTATATATTTTAAATGCCAGTAAGACAAATGACAAATCACGATGACTGTGCTGACTGAGGTTTTGGCAAGTGTTGTTTATTGATCCCCAGGAAGTGCAGTACAAATGCAGCAATGATTATGAAGCAGTTTTGTCTCTTTGCAAAACTACAGACGAATCATTCTTAAAATCTGTTCGTGGGATGTGGGTGTCACTAAGGCCAGTATTTATTGCTCACCCCTAATTGCCCAGGGGAAGGTGATAGTGAGCTTCAACAAATGCATCCGTGGGGTGTATGGTCACGCACGGTGATGTTAGGTAGGGAGTTCTAGGGTTTTAACTCAGTAGCAGTGGTGTTATAGTTCCAGGACAGGATTGTTTGAGACTTGGTGGTGAACTTGCAGATGATGGTGATTCCATGCATTTGCTGTCCATGCTCTTCAAGATGATAAAGGTCATGTGTTTAGAAAGTACGGCCGAAGGAGCCTTTTGCTGAGTAACTTTTCAAACCTGTGAAATACAAGTAACTGCTAAGAGGAGGAAAGACAAAGGTAATGTTAGTGACCACATGGGAATGGATTCAGAGAAACAAACCTATAGTGCTGTGTGACCCAGCACTGAATCTGCACAGCCTCTGCCTCTGCTGTTTGATTTCAAGTATCTCTGGACATCAGAATTTATCCAAGAAAAATGAACAAACAGCAAAATTCACAGCTGACCCTGGAGAAAACTGTGTGGGAGCACTCCCAGCAGGGGAGCAGCGAATTGGCTTTTTAAGGTGTAACCTTACTGATTATTTTGTAAAGCTACAACAGTGGGTAGAGTGTGAGATAACACAGCGTGGAGCTGGAGGAACACAGCAGGCCAGGGGGCAGGAAAGTAGAGTGGGTTCTTTTTTAATTATATGTTTTATTGAGTTCTGTCTCTTGACTAAACTTTAACAATATGAAATATACATAGGAAGTCAACCTGGATCAGTGTTTTCTGGAGTAGGAAGACTGTGCTATTTTCTGGGTCTGTAGATAATTAAGGTGCAAAAATGACCTTTATTAGAGTAATGTATTCTTCCTGTCAGATGTGGGAGATTAGGGAGAGTTTCCATGCCACTCATGTTTATGTCTGCAGGAAGTGTGTTCGTTTGTGAATCCTACCAGATCACATGGATCGGTTGGAGCAGCAGTTAGAGGCAATGAGGAATTTACAGGAGCTAGAGGGTGTGATGGATGGCACTTGCAGTAAGGGAGATAAACCGAAGATACAGTCAGGTAGATGGGTTACCGCCAGGAAAAGGAGAGGGAGGCAGGTCATGCAGGAGTCTCCTGTGACTATCCCTGTCACAAGCATGTATGATATTTTGGAAAATGTTGGGAGTGATGGACTCTCAGCAGAACGTAGCATGTACAGCCAGGTTTCTGGTACCAAGACTGGCTCTAATGTGACGAGGAGTACGTCAGGTTCCAAGCGATCAACTGTGATAGTCAGAGGTACAGATAGATGATTCTGCGGCCGACAGCAAAAAATCAGAATGGTGTGTTGCTTCCCAGGTACCAGGATCAAGGATATCTCTGCAAAGGTGCAGAATATTCTCAAAGGGGAGAGGGGCCAGCAGGAGGCCGTTGTACACGTTGGAACTAATGACATAGGAAGAGGTCAAAAATCAAACAACACTAGGTTATAGTCCAACAACTTGATTTGAAGACCCAAGCTTGTGGACTCTCGCTCCTTCTTCAGGTGTCAGTGTCTTCAAATAAACCTGTTGGACTATAACCTGGTGTTGTGTGAATTTTGACCTTGTCCACCCCAGTCCAACACCGGCACTTCCACATCATGACATAGGAAGAGAAAAGAGATTCTGAGGAAAGAATATAGGAAGTTAGGCAGGAATTTAAAAAGTAGGTCCTCAAGAGTGATAATATCTGGATTACTGCCAGTGCCACGAGCTGGCATGGGTAGGAATAGGACGATAGAGCAGATGAAAGTGTGGCTGAGGAGCTGGTGCAGGGGAGAAGGATTCACATTTTGGATCATTGAAATCTCTTCTGGGATAGAAGTGACCTATATAAGGAGGGCAGATTGCACCTGAATTGGAAGGGAAGTAATATACTGGTGGGGAGATTTGCTAGAGCTACTTGGGAGGATTTAAACTAGTAACAGAGGATGTGGGAACCTGGCAGGAAAGAGGTCTGTCTGAGACTGGTACAGTAGGGGAAAGGAGCAAATCAAATGGTCAGGGCAGACAGGAACAAAGCAGAGAATGAGGTAGGACTGATAAATTAAACAGCATTTATTTCAATGCAAGAGGCCTAACAGGTAAGGTAGATGATCTCAGGGCATGGTTGGGAAATGGGGCTGGGATATCATTGCAATTACAGAGATGTGGCTGAGGGATGGACAGGACCGGCGGCATAATGTTCTAGGGTATACGTAAGGAGATATTCCTGGGAATATGTCCAGGGCAGTTATTTGCGTAGAACTGAGAAATAAGAAAGGCGTGATCACCTTATTTGGATTGTTCTATAGACGCCCCCCAATAGTCAATGGGAAATTGAGAAGCAGATTTTTAAGGAGATGTCAGTTATCTATAAGAATAATAGGGTGGTTATGGTAGGGGATTTTAACTTTCCAAATATAGTCTGAGACTGCCATAACGTTAAAGGTTTGGATGGAGAGGAATCTGTTAGGTGTGTACAAGAAAATTTTCTGATTCAGTATGTGGATGTACCAACTCGACAAAGTGCAAAACTTGACCTACTGTTGGGAAATAAAATATTAGGCAAGAACTTTCAAAAATTGACTGGGGGTGGATATTTGGAGGTAAAGGGACAGCTGGAAAATGGGAAGCCTTCAAAAATGAAATAACGAGAATCCAGAGACAGTGTGTTCCTGTTAGGGTGAAGGGCAAGGCTGGTAGGTGTAGGGAATGCTGGATGACTGGAGAAATTGAGGTATTGGTCAAGAAAAAGAAGGAAGCATATTTTAAGTATAGGCAGCAGAGATCGAGTGAATCCATAGAGGAGTATAAAGGCAATGGGAGTATACTTAAGCGGGAAATCAGGAGGGTAAAAAGGGAACATGAGATAGCCTTGGCTAAAAGGGTTACAGAGAAT